TTGTAGTTTTGTCAATGGCCGAGGCAGAATACGTGACATCCGGTAGTTGTTGTACCCATATTTTGTGGCTTAAGCAACAATTAGTTGATTTTGACATTAAACTTTTGTGTATTCTTATCATGTGCGATAACGCTAGTTCAATTAATCTAATCAAGAATCTAGTGCTACATTCTCACACTAAACATATCGAGATACGTTACTATTTCCTTCGCGATCACATTTTAAAAGGGGGTGTTGTGTTCGAGCATGTCGGTAGTAAAAATTAGTTTGCCGGTATTTTCACTAAACCTCTTGCAATCGAACCATTTTTCAACATACGTGCAGAATTGGGGATCATTGGTATCTCCAATGTTGTTTAATCTTTATTATGTTGTTTGCACTTTATACTTTTGCTCTAACATTGTGTTCGAGTATTTTACAGCATGAGAGTGCAACTTCTGTTCCATCAAGAGTGAGGTAACATTGTTTCAAATTTCTCTTTGAAAGTAAGACTTTTCTTAAATGCATGTTTTTTTGTTAGTTAAAAATGCATGTTAAGCTCTCAAATGATGAAAATCATAAATATTCATTTCTAAAAATTTTGATTGACCATTATTGTGTGTTTTTAATGTATATGATTACAATGACTTCATGTATTAATTCTTTCTCATTTGTATAAGTTTGTTCTTGTTTGTACAAGCATGCGTTGGTATTATTATTTCATGCACTCGCGCATGGGTTGAATGTAGGCACATTATTTGCATATATGATTCTTGTTGTAGTTGAGTCACATGTTATGTCAATATTTTCATTTTTGGATTGAGTTGTATCATTTTTGTCGCCATGATGGGCACCTGCGTGTGCAGTATTGAGAGTTCCATTATATTGTGTTACGTAATCGTGACACTATAAAAGCAACTTGAAAATTTTTCTCTTGCATCAAATTTATTTCTATTAATGCATTGCATTACATGTTTGGTAATGTTTTATTCCAGTTATTTATCAATTTTACATCATTACATATATATGGGGATATGTGATTGTTGCTCTTCTATGCAAAAATGCCTATGAGTGATATATTAGTATTCATATTGGAATATGATACTTCTCACTATTTGTTATCTTTCTTTTTGATATTTTCAAAGGGGGGAAGCATATGCGAGATGAAATTGGGAACCACAAAGTCAGGGGGAGCCTTCGATAATGACATGAAATGTCTCGTTACAAGTTTTGCCATCATAAAAAAGGGGGAGTATGTGAGTGTAACTTCACCATTAGATGTTTTGTATGATGTCAAAACTAATAAAACTTAGCATTTATGTATATTGGACGGTGTCTCTATGTCATATCGTGCACTCTTTTATTAGAGGTCTTAGGAGTCATTCAAAACTACCTTGAAATTGGCCAAAAACATCAAAATTCATTTTCTGCACAAAAATCACTTGCATGTGTCGTCAGATACGATTTTCAGTCTAGGACATCTAACTCAACAATAAAGAATGTAGCTTCTGTTTATTACAGGCCGACACATGCAGTCTTCAGGCCGACACATACAGTGAGTTTCAGTTCAATGTGTCGGCACATACAATTTTCAGGTTGACACATCAACTTCAATTTTAAAGGTTGTAGCCTCTCTTTCTCATAGGCCGGCACGCAAGCCTTTTCAGGCTGGCACATACTATTATTTTTAGCATTATGTGTCGGCACATCTATATTTCAGGTCGATACATGCTGTTTGATTGAATCAATTTTTCAATTCTTTTTAATTCCAAAAATTACATCTTTGCATACAAAATTCCACAACTATAAATACATTATTCATGCATCATTCTAACTTGATGAAACTATAAACACTTACCACTATTTCTATTCATCTTCAAACTCCAATCTATACATACACAGTGATAAGTCACATATAATCATCTTTTGTCGAGGTGCCATCTAGGAGGAGTTTGATAACGTCCAATTAGGTTTTTGTGTAATTAAGAATATTGGATTGAGAATTGTTATGGGTTTCATTTGGAAAAACCTAGGGTTTGTCATCCTAGATATTTGGTAGATTTGGGGGTTTTGTTCAAGACTTTAGAGGATTGCGGCCAAGTGAAATCGTTGGAGTTTGGTACCCGAGGGAGTAGCGAGAGAACGGTGAATCAAATCGAAAGTGCTTTTGTTCAATAGTTATAATTGATCGTGCATGAAAGAGCTTTAGAGTTTGGTACACAAAGGAGTAGCAAGATTCGATAAGTCAATTGGTAACTATTGTGTTTTGGTCTTTTTCATGATCAAAAGAAGAAAAGAGGTTGAATCAACAACAGACGGTTAGGGTTTGTAGGGTTGCTCTTGGAATACTTCTCTTGTAATCAACTTTTTGCATGTTAAAATATTTATCTCAATTCCAAAATGGAATTGGATGGATACATGTTCATAGCGAGGACGATTGGTGAACTTCTTAAACAAATCCTTGTGTCGATCTTCCTTATCTCTTTACTTGCTTTATTTTTTATTAAGTGATTTTTTGAAATTCATCGATTGATCGATCGACTCGTGAGAATTTTATGTGGATGTTTTTGTTTTAAATTGGTTTTTTATTAGCTTATAATCACTTTGATTATAAGTGTTTTTCCATATCAACAAAACTCAAAGAAAAACTCTGAAAATTCGTTTGTATACCAAGTATTTGACAAATTGCATTGTTTATTATTGTTGCTTAATTTTATTGGAAATAGATTGCTAGTGAATTATTATAAACGAGTAATAAAGTGTTGATTCTTTCAAGTGTATTGATTCCTCTTATTGATTCATTTATTTCATAAGGCTCTTTGTATATCCGAGTTCTAATAATTAGGTTCGTATAGTCGACTTTTATCGATCTATCTTAAAATCGCTTGCACTCTTTTCAAATAATTTTTAAATACCAAATTTTTTATTGGTACGTTTGGCTTGGTGATCTATTCACTCCCCTCTAGATAAGTCATTATCGTCTAACACTTTGGACCTTAGAAACATTATCCTGTCATCGGGGAACTTTTCGGAGATGCATATCGGACACACCCTATTTTTTTATGAAAAAAAAAAAGGTATTTGTGGACATGCATATTTGTAAAGTGTCGTGTTGTGTTTTTTATTTAGTATTGGGGTTTATCCGGATAGGCATATCTGAAATCACTCCTGAATCAGAAACAGAACATAAATTGTATCAACACCCCAAAAACTGAACCAGAAATATATATTACTTATGTATTAAATCGTATTAAGATTACATCGTTGACGATAATACATTCAAAAAAATGTGTATCGATTAAAATCTAAAATGCATCAAAAGATGCATCACCGCATAAATCTACTATTGATTTCTCCTTCAAATTTTCTTTATTCGATTGTCTTTCAAGCTCGCTCAATTTGGTGAACTCTTTCATCCTCCGGTTTAAGGCGACATACGATGTGATGACTTCTTAGCTCATTTTGCAGGGCATGATTATGTAAATCAGAAACCACGTTAAGTTTCCATGTATCATTCACCTTCCAGTATCCGTCCAATTTAAACGGGCACTCACATTTTCTCGATCTGGTGTCATCACGTTTCAACTTCTGAATCGGTGGAAAGTACGTGTCACTTCTCTCATATCTCATGATTGCAAATGCTTGACTTCTATTAGAACCATTGTCAGACTTTACGATTACAATGCCAAAATCCAATTTCTCGGCCTCCATGCAGACTCATTAAAGCATATATTCACAAGCAGTAAACAGTTGTTCATTTCTAAAATAATTACCAGCATCTATCTCGACAACAACCAGTCTAGCGTCATCCTTCACCTCATATGGTTTAACATCATCCTTCACCTCATTCAGTTTAACATCATCCTTCACTTTATCCGATTTTACATCATTACTTACAACGACTTTGGGAAAACAAAACACTCATAGTAATAGGAAAATTTGGAGATGCACATCCGAACGTAACGTACATTTTCAGCTCAAAAACAAGATTAATGCAATGAGGGATGAAATGTGTGAACTTTATCTTAAATTGTAACTTCTTTTGTTCCATTTGATGTGATAAAACACAAGAATAATGATTTGTAGTTGAAAAACTTGTTGGGAATGAAATTTTTTAAGGGTGTTAGGTTATGGAGGTGGTATGGAGTGTGGGGGATATGATCATGCAAGGTGGTGATATATCCAATTGCCCGCTTGCCATTTTCGAAGATGCATCTCTGAAAATATTACTGAATGGTTAAGTAAATCAGCTCAATGAAAAACGCATAGTAAATAGATTTAATGGTGTTTTCTGAGATACATCTTTGAATACACTCCAAAAGAAATTTCACAGATACATCTCCGGATCAATCTTTGACAAAAATGAAGTGGTTGCTTGATTTACAAAAAATAAAATTATTTAAGATATGCCTGAAAACACATCTACGAAAACATCTAAGTAAATTTTTGAATTTTCAAAGATGTAAACCACACCCTAATGGTTATTTTTTTAACTATAAAAACAAGCCCATAAAGTTCGGTTTGGTTGTCTTGTTCGTAACAACTTTCCCTAATTTATCACATAGCATTAATAAAATTAACTTAATTGTTAAAATATTTCATGAAAATATATGCAGTAAGATTCTATTTTCTATAAACACAATAATATGCTAAATGATGACCATTATAATTATATATTATCTATTTTCTATCAATATATAATATGCTAAATGACGACTATTATTAATTGTGTGATTGCATTGTTATGTTTATCATTAATACAGATATATAAATAAATGCTCCAGCCAACACTGACCAGACAACTTACACTTATTTAAGTCAACTGATTGCATCTTGATGTTTATGTTTACAAGCACAATTCATTGTCGCCTTTCTAGCACAAATGGCATACATGACAGTTGATTCTAACTCACCAGCCTCACAGAACAATCAATATGCTCTTCTTTCCCTTTCCCATATTCTCATCCATTACAATCAAATGCAAAACAAAGAATACATCATTGAGCCAGTTGTCATAAATTTCAATGTTTGTTATTCTCATCCTCGTATCCAGCTGCCCTTCCTTTCCTTCCTATGACAAATGGCTGTGGGGTGGTGTTCTCGTCGGGTATACTCAGACCTTGATAAGTTCGATTTGCGAAAAATTCTGCTCCTGATTTAGCGTCCCCTTTTATTAGGATGTTACAGTTGTCCCGCAACTGCAGTGCCTTCTCAGTTGCATTTGCTAAAGCAAGATCTTCTTGTTCGCCTTCAACATTTTCTGATGAGATACAAGAAACAAATTTAGTGATTGAAGAAGGAAATGCACAACCAAATGTAGGCTTAGTTGCTAGCGTAGAAGCAAGAAATATTAAGTACCTTGATTTTCAAAATCTTGAACATATCCACCCTTTAAGAATGAAAACCGTGCTTCTTCCTCGTTTCCATCCTGTACTTGAGGAAGATTAATTAAATCTCCAAATCCCATTACATAGGCACCTGTCCATTGGCTTCCCCTGGAAATAGATTAATAAAATAAGCATCAGAAATCAAGGCATGTCATAAATCTTTTGGAAAGAAATGAGATATGTATTCACATGAATTCAGATATAGATGTCAATAAAGACTGTAATAACCATCTGCATTACAAGTAGAAATCATAAAGATTGAAATGTTTTTATTTAGAGATATTTGATTTTAAGAAATTAACAAATCATTTACATTTTGTATTAGTTACAAATTGAAAATAGAGATTGCAAAAATCTCAGCAATCATTAGGAAAGTCGCATGCAAAGAGAAAATTTGTGAAACTAATAGATTGGTATGAGTCGTGGCCATGACACGGTACCTGTTGAAAGCAATCGTTGCTTCAAAGGGAGTAATAACTGGAGCTAGATACTCTTTGCTATCCAGTAAAGCAGTTTGGGCACAAGAGACATATAGGAAAACATCACACTGATGGAGAAAAAATAAAGTCAGTAATCTTTCGGAAATAAACAGAAAGCTGAAATATGTACTAAAACTGAATCAAACTTCACCTCAGGAAAGTTAGCAAGTTTAGCTGGGTTTGGTTTTCCCATAACCAAAGTGTAGGCCTTTTTGCCTGCCGAAGTAATTAGCTCCATCATCTGATTAATCACGTGCAGATAACCAGCTGCATTAAAATCCAGTATGATTAATTAACCCCATTTATGTTGAAAACAAACAAAAATAATAATTTTTTTACTGACGTATCATTGCAGGCTAGAGAGATCTCATTTACACATTTGTTATTTATCATGAATCAATTATCTGAGACACATTAGCCATTAACTATTAAGTTTTCTTTTATAGGCAAATGGTTTTTATTATCTCTAACACAGCCCGAGGCAAGAGGCCTTTGGATCTGAAGCATGGATAATCATGCTAAAAATTAACATTTAATTAGAAAAATGGAGGCTGTGGGCATTGAACTGTAGAGTATCCGGTCATAGAGGCTTTGCTCTCGTGTTTTGAACAAACTATCTGAACAGCAGTGTTGTAAATTGTGAATCACGTAAATAGAAATTTGTTCAAATTTCGCTACACAACAGTGTTATAGCCGCTATTTGACTATTTTGTACTATATAGCTTATTTAGGAACACTAGCGACTTGTTCAAATTCTGCTACAATATAGCTTCGCTATTAATAAATACACCCAAAAAGCTTAGCTATTACTTAGATACATGAACAGTTTAACATTATATCCCTAACATATTATTCACACCTGCTAACTACATAAAACATGAATCAGACTATGACTTATGCACCATATAACTAAGTAAAATACACATTATTTTCTTCTCATTTGAGGTTAGTAATGAAACAAGGGATCTTTATCTAGATCCTGTTCTCATTACAATGCATTGATTAAATCAAATGTATTTGGGAAATTTAAATTCATGTTTAAAAAGGCATGTGACAATATAAATTTGGATATGCTTGTGCTACTAAGTTACTTAGCAATAATTATCCAAGAAAAAAACAAACAACAAAACTGACAATAAACATACCAACTCCAAGTGTTCCAACCAAAATTCCAACAATATTAGCATCCTTAGCCTTCTCCACCAGGTAATATCTGCAAAGTTCTCAATTGAACTTAGTAATATGCAGACATGAGATGGTTTACAAAAGGATAGTGTGTTCATATTGGGATGCATACCTACGTTTAAGAATCCTCCTCTGTTGTGACAAGTCTGTCACCATTTGATTTTTAGTTGCATCATACCTGACTAAAACCAATAGCATCATTGTTAAAGCAATACCTAAAAAGAATCTATACCAGGAAAGAGTCAAGGTGCATTCACACTGGATACATGATATGGGTATACAGAAGTTACTTCAAACAATGCAATAATATTGGGAAGATTATCTTCCTATAAGAAATCCTTTTGTTAGAGATGCAGGACTAAAAAGATGATATTTCTTTAACAAATTTCCTCAAATCATATCAAGATAAAAGATAACACATTTTCAAGCAAACAAATTGAAGTCAACTTATTAGGTGGAGTAATTGATATAAAATGACCATTGGTATCACTTTAATTAATAATAATTTCCCCCCTTCCCCATTTAAAAAAGATACAGAACCGTGAAAATATAGACACATTAGGACAAATATCAGAAAAGATAAGGGGTAAATTGTTAACCTATTTCACAGGCATTGAATGTGAGCACAACATTTGCAAAAGCAGCATTATCATGTCCAATCCAAAAGAGCGAGTAGTCTTCCATGCTTTGTCCCTCAGGTAATTTCCAAGTCAAGCCTCCAATACTAAATATAGTTCCACTCGCCCCACCAGAATCGGAATCATCACTGCAACCACAAACTGCTTCTTGGTGCCCATTTAATTTCTTAGTATCTTTTGATGGAAACATATATGGAGATGGAACATCAGCAAAGCTTATGTCAGATCTGCAAGATGTTGATGATTCTAACAGCGCTGTTCTAATCTGTTGTATTGAATGTGCATACTCCAGCCCAAAAAGAACCTACAGTTGGAGAACAAATGGTCCAAAAAACATATAAATTCAGACAACTATTTCGATAAAAATACCTTTAAACTTATCTAGCCTAGGCTTGCAGAAAAACAAAAAATCATCTATATTGCACGTATAATTGAGTAAATCAACCAACTGAGCTTTGTAAACATGTGAAAAAGGAAACTAATAAACATTCATGAAATTTCCCGTTAATAAATTACATGACAATTGCAACTATTTGTTTTTCTATACCATGATAGGCTTGTTATTTTCCAGCGCATACTGTGCCACACTTTCAACACAATCAGCTATGCCAATGGAAGCCTTACCAAAAACAAAAAAAGCCGGTAGACTAGTTGTCCTGTAGAGAGAAAAGAGGACGTCAGCCGAAGAACATAAAGCTTAATCGCAACCCATAAGCAACATAACGAATTAAATACCAATCAATAGTTAGTTTGTTACCCAAGAAACTGTAAGTAAGAACTTTTGAAAAGAGGTAATCGAGGAATTCGAGACTACAAAAAAAAAAAAAAAATTGTAACGCACGGGCTAAAACACGTATGTCCATAATGTAGGACACAGTCAGCATTAATGTGTGATGCTCCAACTTCATCAACACAGCAACTGCCATAGGCTGTATCAGCCATGACATACAATCCAATGTCTGTAGCATCCGATTCTCGCAACGAATGAAGCTTCTTTCGCAGAACACGGACAAGTCTTGTTGAATCCTTTAGAAGATCATCAGGAAACTAGAGAGAATGATAGCAATCAATATAAATAAGAAAACATCAGCTGTAGTGAATTTACAATTTGAGGAAAGGGGGCTTACTTGTAAAGCAACTCTGGTGAATTTGTGAGTGCGAATGAATTCGGCAGTGGCGGCAATATCGTAATTTGATTCGAAATCCATTGCTACAGAGGAAGACCAATAGTGAAACCAAAATAAATATAAAAAAAAAGCTATCTCCTTTCCTGAGCGATGCAGTTATGGCGTCTTACGACCGGCTCCGCGGTGGTTTGCGGTCAGATTCGGCTTACTCCGGCAAAGCTGAGTTCAGTGTTTTCCGATACAGGAGCAAAGCTGCCGAAGCCGATGACTTTTGTTGTTTCAAATTAGGGTTGTAAATATAAATAAATAATTAAATGAAATCAATATACGGAATGATTGAAATTTGTGGATTTTTTTTTTTAGAATAATGATGTTTTGAAAAAAAATATATAAATAATCATGTTTTTCAGAAAATTACATAAATAATTATGTTTTGAAATAGATATTAATGGAAGCGATGTTTTACTTGGTGCATGCACTCACCTTTTTGCCTTAAGCGTCATCTCATTTGACGCATGCACTTTCTTTTAGCCATGTGAGATAGCGCATGCACTATAATATGGGGAGGATGTGTCATCTGAGATGGCTACTACGTGTAATTGTGTTTCATAAATAAAACATTCATTTCTCCATTATTCTTCACATTTTCTCACATTTTCTTCTCATTTTCTTTCTGTTTTTTGCATCATGACAACTCATGATTTTCACCAGAGATGAGTACGTTATTTTCTCGGCCACCAAACCTCTGATGAAAATGAAATTTTGCATATTCACTACATTGAGCGTCTGAAGAGAGAGTTGATGTGACGGTTAGAGGGAGACATCGAAGCTTAGGAAGAAATTAGAAGGATCCAGAGAAGAAGAGCAGTTACCTCACTGGCAACTGGAAGACCTCAATCTTGGTTGGAGGAAGTCAAAACAGACAGAGGCGTAATGGTGATGATGCATGCTCAGATGAAATTGTTTTGTCGGTTGTAATTTCTTAGATGTTTTATCGTGTTTTTATTTGTTGTTTGTGTATGGCTTGTTGTAACAAATGCTCTTAATGAAAAAAGTTGCGTTTAGATCTTAAAAAGTGCATATAGTTTACATACAATTTTTATGTGTCGAGCTTGTAGCACGAGTGTGATAATTTTTCGATTGTGTCCAACCTGACGATATAAACCACACTTTCTTTCTAGCTTGTCAAGGGAGTCCATTTCAATTATGATACGCTTTCTTTTGGAACGACCCTTTTTATTCCTTCGCATTTGATCATTGTGCCATACTATTTCCCCTTTGTATGCAGGCCAATAATCAAGTTTTGCTACCATTGGAAAGTCATTATTGTATACACTGAGCAAGGTTTCAGACTTGTAAATGGGAGATAGAAGTAGTAATGCATCTTGATGAGTATACGTACATGTTGCAATGACATAAGAGCAAGACATATGAAAGGCTTGAAACTTTCCACAATCGCACTAATAAGATGGTAGCATAATCCTATACTCTTGTCTTGACGGTCCCTCGTTGTGGTCAATTGTCTCTTTGACAATGAAGTTCTGGCTATGTCAGTCGAACCTTATAATAAGATGGGTGTTGACTTTGGCACCTTCTGCCTTAATATATTTCATGCAGCTTTCACTCCATAGATGTCCCGATTATAAGATCGCATTCCATATTTCACCTCTTTTTGCAAACAACGAAGTCATCCTAAAATATGTTGATTTCACCAAAGCGGTTACTGGGAGGTTTTGTATGCCTTTGAATACACCGTTCATTAATTCGATAAGATTTGTTGTCATGTGGCCCCATTGTTGTCCATTCTCGTATGACCTTGTCCATTTCTTCACTAAAATATTATCAATCCATCTACCTGCATCCGGATTTGACAATATAATCTCGTTGTGATAGTGTTTGAATGAAGGTTGTGTTAACGCATACCTCGCGTCCATAAATGTTTTCCTAAGAGCCTTGTCTTTGATTTTCCTCGTGAAATTTTGTACGATATGTTTAATGCAATAGACATGCGTAGAAGGAGGGTCATGCCAACCATTTGCAGGATTATTGTATGCACTCTCAATAGATGTATGTCTGTCGAAGATCAAACAGAGACCAGGTTGTGGAGCCACATGTGTTCGGAGATTCTTGAGAAAGAAACTTCAAGCACCACCAGTCTCTCCCTCAATTAGAGCAAAGGCAATTGGAAAAATGTTGTTATTGCCATCTTGTGCAACTGCCATCAGTAGTGTGCCTTTGTATTTCTCGTACAACCATGTTCCATCTATTTGAATAATAGGTTTGCAGGATACAAACCTTGTGATGCAAGGTTGAAAAGCCCAGAACAGTCGATTGAATATTCCATTTCTGTTGGCAGAAGTACTATTTGGGGCATACGCTGGTAATGTTTCCATAATATAAACAGTTCCAGGAGAATACATATGAAGTGCATGCAGGTAGCGCGGTAGTTCTTTGTATGACTCCTCCCAGTTTCCATATACCTTTTCAATCGCCTTGGTCTTTGCTAACCATGTCTTTCTGTATGACGGAGTATAATTGTATATTGTAGTGATGTGAGAGATTATGGTTTTCACCTTCAATGGTGGATCATTGTTGACGAGAGGTAGGATTTCTTGACATATTAGATCATAAATTAGTGTATGATGATCTTGTGATTCAGTAGAATTAATGCACGTATGGGTGGACATAGAACATATCACCCGACAATCACTTCTCAACCTTTATGATGCAGTGAGCCTGAACATATAATTTGGGTGAACACACTTGAGCTTGTACCTTTCTGGATTTACCTGATCTACCTTAAAATCGACAGAGTTTAACATGTGAAACTTTTTTATAACTCGCATACAATCTTCTCTTGAACGAAATTCGTCTTTCTCTTTTAAATTTTCATATGACTGCATATACGGGTTGAAAAAAACATTTGATGACGGTTCATATCCGCCCATGTTGAAGTTTGTCATGTGTGAATGTGGTGTATAGATTTCATTTGGATGTATTTCAGGCAGCACATCGTCTTCAGAATCATCGTTAACCATGTTGTCAAACTCTAACTCTTCATCTTCGTCTTCTTCATCAAAGATATCTACTTCTGCTTGTTTGTCTTCGATGGGATCAACCACTTGTGACTGAGTTGGTTGTGACAACCGAGCCTCCTGGAGCCTAATGTATAATTCAATCGAGTCGTACCCAAAGTAATCATGACTAGAAAACATATTTTGAAGGTCTTCTCCATCTTGAACCTCTACCTTATAAAATATTATTTAGTTCTCACAAAAAAAGGATTTTAGTAGAAGATGTGTGTCACTGGACCTCATCCAAATTTGACCTCTAATCATTTTTTGAAATACAAGAAATTGGCTTTTTTGTTTAAAAAAAATCGGATATTATAGGTGTCTCTAAATAAAAAACCAGAGGTGGGACAAATGTACGTCTCACCATTGAAATGTGCACTGATAACATATTATGGTGTAGAGGACATTGTGTTTGGTGTTTGAATGTTTGAGTGTTGATAACATTAGATGCATGTAGGATAACTAAGTTTCATTTGCCTTGAACAAGATAAAAATGCTCCACCGCTGATTCTCTAATTGGGATGGCAAATTCTCTTAATTTTGGTCTTATTCGCCATCTCGGATGGCACATCCCTACTGGTCATGTCACGTTACATGCATGCATATAATACTGTCCCTATGCTGCCATCTTACACTGCACATATACTGCCACCTACTCTACATGTAGGCATGTCTCACGCCAAGCTGACTGGGGCATGCTCTCTAAAATGCATGTAGGCGCCATTTAACTTGGCTCCAGCATGACACGTATTATGCATGATGCAACTCTCAACCGCCTCATTAATTCACTCTTATACGAATTCTCATATAAATATGGCGCCCGAGACACTTGTTTTGTATCACCAATCATCACACTCTCTGATACAAACTCTTTTATTATCTTATACAATTTCAAATATGATTTTTCTCACAATAGAAGATTCTCACAGAGGCACAAGAGACAACATTGTGGCATTTGTAAGTTTCTATAAACTCTTAAATATTCTTTTATATTAATATGTTTTTATAAAATTATTATTAAATTAGTCATCTTATGGACTCTTACACTATTTACATTTTGAATTTAGGATACTAAAAGATTTAGAATTCGCTCACACAACTACATTACTCCCAACCCGTTGATCGTGCCCTGTCTAGAATATGTCGGTTTTAGAAATGTTATAAAAATCTCAAATTGCACGATTGATTCCAAGTTTATACTTGCAATATTAGAAAGGTGGAAACCCGAAACACACACATTTCATCTACCAATAGGTGAATGTATCGTTACACTAGAGGATGTGTACATGTTATTGGGTCTCCTTATCGATGGTAAGGCAGTAAATGGGTCGGTTCAACAACCCAATTCTCTATGCCAGGAATTGTTGGGCAAAGATATGGTAGAAGGTATTGGTGCTAGGGGACAAGGTATATTACTAACTGAACTTAAAAAACATTATGCGACTCTTGAGTTGAATGAAAATTCGTCCGAGCTAGCAAGAATAATTAAAGCTAAAAATTATATTATGATACTATTTGGAAGCTTGTTATTTCCCGAAAGTATAGAGAATAGTGTAAATTTTATGTATTTAAGTTTGCTTAGGAACTTTGAAAAAATAAGAAAGTATAGTTAGGGTTCTGCTGTTTTAGCCTATCTATAAGTTCTTTGTGTAAAAACGCAACAAATGACAATATACTTTTATGCACGCGCTTTCTTACTCCAAGCATGGGGTTGGTAGAGAATAGAGTCCCTAAACCCCGTCAACAACAATGCGTTCATTTTCCCATACGCAACAAAGTAATTCAAGAACTTAAATAATTTATTATTCATCCTTTCATCAAAAAAATGTATAAAATTAACTATTTTTTCATTCCTTTAGGTACTATGTAATAGGTGTGGATTACAGCAAGAATCCAAGATTCAATGTCGCTCTATATCATAATTTATTGGATCACCTTGGTCCGGATGATTTACGTGGTACCTTTGAACTTTTCTACTTTTAAATTATTTATTTTTTACATTTTCAT